CTCCCTGCGGTCACAGCGCCAGCTTCCCGAGGTGTCGGCGCCCCACGTGGCTCGGCCGGGACGGAGCAAGCCGCAGATGTGAGCAGGGCAGCCAGGTGCTGCGGGCTCGCTGACCTTTGCTTTTCACCTCTGCCCCTAAGCCCATTAACCTTGGCGGCCTCAGCCTACGGGCACCTGATTCTCTCTACTGCCACTCTGCAGCGCCTCTCTCTCATTCCACAACTTAGAAAAAGGATCCTTACACGTTTGCTCCCCCAAAGCGCCTACCACAGTGTCAAGCACACAGCTAGCGCTCAATAAATAACCCCCGCATCCCAATCCTACCACATATCTGTCGGTAGCACCAAATACACTCGGCACTCAGGGCCCACCCCGGCGCGGTGCCTAGCATACTGCAAGCACTCAGAACATTCCCGCCCTCTACAGCCTAGCACTCGAAGGGGCTTACGGCGTGCTTCTCCTTAAGCCTTTCTCCGCGGAATTTCCCTAAGAGCCTCAGATTCCACCCCACTTGCAGGACTTCTCCACGTCGCAGCTACCACCGTCTGGGGACAGGAGACCAAGCTCCTTGGACAGGACACCCCTCCGGAGAAGGAGCGACGAAGTTGGCAGGACGGAAGAAAACTGGCAAGTTCTCGGGCCTTGGGGAGAAAGACCCAGCCAGCCAGCAACCTGCAGGGGGAGGAAGTCACGAGATGAGCTCAGGGCGCTAAAGAGTGGGGATCCAGAAGCGGAGGCTGGGGGGGTGGGGGACACGCAAGGTTGAGAACGGAGCGCTGGAGACAGCAGCGACTCCGGAGTGGCAGGCGCTTGCCTGGAAGGGATCCGGGGACTTTCTTGAAACCGCAGTGCCTAATAATTTCTTGTGGCCGGTAACCACGTTCTGTGGCGAGTATACTTTTACTTGGGTTGTGTGTTTACTCTGTGGGGCTGGTGGCGATTACGGAGGCTGAGGTCCCCCCAAAGTCACCTCACTATAGAGTGCACTTAAGAAGACCGAGAGAAAGGAAGGGACAGAAACAGTGAGCCTGAGTACTCCTAGAAAGGATGGGGACCGGTAGGAGAGGCGAAGATGCTTCCAAGTGAAAGGAGCAGAGGAAGATGAAGAAGGGACGAGAAGAAGCCACACTCGCCACTCTCCCGCTCCCGGGCCACCCGCGCCCAGATGCCGCGCCCCGGCTCTCGCTTAGCTCGCTCGCTCGCTCGCTCGCGTACCTGTTGC